TTAAGTATGAAGAAGATAAAAGGAAAAATGGTGATATGGTCCTTAATGGTTCCTAATTTTGGCAGATTGTTTCCTAGTATTTTAGAATAGTGCAAAGGCATCCCTTCATTATTCAAATTTTGAGAGAAAGAGCCCTACGTTTCTAACAACATTTTGAAATTCTTTTATAAGTACCTAAATCTAAAAAAATATTACTTAAGTGTTCTAAAAATTTGAGTCAATTTAAACAATTATTCCAATATTTAAAAATAAAAAATATAAATAATTTATCTTATTAATAGAATAAAGATTCAATTTAAATTATAATTATAATAGAAATTAATTTAATTAAAAATTTAATTTAAATACACAACATTTTAATAAAATCAAACAATATATTCAAAAACATATATATTTTAAATTTATTTTTTATTTAATCTAAATAATATGTTTTAAAATATATATATTTAAAATACACACCCCAAATACACATTCGCATTAGCAAACATCACCAGAACGAAATCAACTAATGCAGTAACAAGTGATGATAAAGCCAAGCGTCCAGACCTGAGACCTGGTCCAATGTTTTAAGTCCAGTTACCCATATTCGCTATTTTTAATTATTTCATTCAATGTTTAAAATGCAAGTCGGCCCATTGTTCTAAATCTAGTCCATTAGAATAACATTTTAACCATTACCCATTATTCCTCTCTTCTAGCTTTTGCCCACCACGCTTAAAAGCACTTCAAGTATCAACTAGAGCTAAATGGCAGAAACTAATACCCAAAAATTTAAAATTAAATGCAAACTGAGACAAAATGTGCAAGTTTATTATATATCTCAGAAAATTACAGCAGAAAATTGAAAGAAATGGGATCTTCAAGCTCGATTTGGATTTTTGTGCCTTAGTTGTAAGATATTTCAGGGTGACACCGGTGAGTATAATAAACATTAACTATAATAACTTTTTATACAAGATACTTTTAGAATAAAATATTATGTATAAAATATCATAATTATCAATTTAAAAAACTTAAGGTCAAAGGACTTTGATAAACAGTATCCAAAATCAAACAGTATTTATGGGGCAACACTTTGTCTCCCGTAACCTAATTTACCTAACTTTGTATATGTAATTTAAATTTAAAATTTTTTATTTTTTATAAAAAAAATTATAATTAAATTACTTAACTCATCAACAATAAATATCTTGTTAACTACTTCTTTATTTAGAGGAAAAAAATAGAAGGAAAACGAAGTCTATAAAAATGTGAATTGATAACTATAACCAGGGAAATAGAGAGGAGGGAAATTAAAAAAAAAAAAATCTAAATTTAAAAAACAAAAGAAATTAAATCAAAATAAGGAAAACACCTTCCTTCACTTCCAAATTTTTATTAACTAAATAGGAACATTTCTTCTCCTCTCCTCTCCTCCCCTTATCTCAAGCCGAGCGTTTGTCATGAGATAACAGGATGCAGTCCATTTCTCAAAAAAAGCAAATATCTGCAAATGAAGTTGACCTTCATGGCTTCTCTCCTTCCTCTCCACCAATCTTATTGTTCAAATATTCCGAACCAAAAGTAATTAGCATAGATAAAATCAAATTTGTGAAACCCACTACCTCAAATTTGTAACTTGTTCACTCCATGCTAATAACTTGAATCTAAATTCCAAATCACCTTTTTACTGAAAAGAGAGACTAAATCAAGCTATAAATTAATAAATTGTTTAAGTGGTAGTCAGTAGTTTGCCTATGGGCTTGGATTATCTACTTCAGATATTCCATATGTTCGTGGCTTTGGTATTATACTTGTCACCTTGTATTAAAATTTGAAATTTTACTTGAGAATGAATTCTAATCTGGTTTGTTGAAGAAGTTAAATATTTTTGTTTGATCGGATTTTTAGTTCACTGTCTTATGTTAGCTTGCAGAGTTCTGTTTTATCAAACTAAAGATTGATTTTTTAGCCAAAATTCATATGGTGAGTACCGATTTCCTTCTAACCTACAATTTCATTTTTTAATTTTTTTTAGATTAGTCATGTATATTATATAAATGATAATTAATATACACTTTATTTCAATACACTCCACTAGACACTATACAAAACGAGAAAAAAAAATGTACATATTAATATTGGAGTTTTTCTATCATCATGGATATAGTTGATATACAACATAATCTCTTACACTTCAATTCAAGAAAAAGCAGGAAAATTGTTGAAGTGGGATGAGAAAACGAAGTTCATTACAATAAGCAATTACAGGTAATTTTGATGCCTACCCATGTTTACTCAGACCTCATCTTATTGAACTGGTTCAAAGCTGGCTGCAGAATGTTGTAGAGTACCCACAAAATCGCCGGCGCCACCACGATCAGGAGAAGCTGGCCCCTGCTGTCGCTAGAGGAAGCATCGGCAATCATGGCAATCTCAGCAGCGGCAGAGGCATGGGGGGTTGAGATGAACCCTGATGCAGCCAGTCCGCCGAGTCCTAGTCCAATGATCACCCCCTTGGTGCTCCGCATACTGTTGATCTGGTTAAGTGCGGGCCGGAGGATGTTGAACAGAACCCAAGCAATTGCTGGAATTATGGGCAATAACAACGCCAGGCCACGGTTGTCGCCCTCAGCTATGTCAGCAATCTGCTGGGCGGCAAAAGCGGCATCAGAAGAGGCCAAGGTAGAGAAAATTGCTCCAGCAAGGGCGGTACCTGAGAGGGAAGAGGACATGGTGGATTTTGAGATGGTAAGTCCTTTTGGGAGGTTCTGGATGGGGAATAGGGAGTTGGGTTTGGTGACTGGCTTTGTAAGGTTGGTGGTTTTGGGGGTGTTAATGTTTAGGCTTTTGGGGTTAAGCATTGTCATTGAAGCCATGGTTGCTGCCATTGATGTTGTGCCTTTGTCCTGGTATTGGAACTCAAAGCTCAGTGGTGGAGAAATGAGCTTCTACGGCTGTGTTTGGAGGTGAGAAATTGGCAGATAGATTGTGAAGCTGAGGAAAACAAATATGGTCCAATAGAATGATGCCTTCTAGATTATTCTCTTATCCATAGTGTACTGATTGGGAACTTATAGACCTCACAATCTATAATCCACCTCGTTTTCTTATCACTTTTTATTTCATGTAGCTTTTATTGGTAGCAAAGGCCAATTTGTGAACTTTAATCCCTCACTTGAAATTTCTATTGTGGATTTATATTCCTCGAACAATAGTGACTATGCTCTTTATAAACAAATGATTTAATTATGCCTTCAATGGATGTTTCAACTAAGAAGTTTTAAGATTATAAATTGGAAGTTCTATGTTTAAATGGGGAGAGTGAAGATGAGTAAATTAAGGGAAAAGTTTTAAGTTTAACGGTACTTTTGTTTCCTTATATTTTTATAAAAACTTTGCTCATACATTAAGTGAATATTAATTGATACACATTTCGATTTAACGTATTATATATATACTTATTAAAAATCATTATTTTTTTATTTAAATTTAAAATTAAAGACAAATAAATTTAA